CTGAAGATACAATAACATATCGCTCATCATCTGCCTTGGCCCCACTAGTGCAGATCATGTTGTTAATACACATCTCTGGTGATATAGGTTTTTGTTCTGTGCAAGCTTCCGATGGTTCATCGGCTTTCTGGTTTTCGGTAGGTTTTGTCGACTTATCTGCAGTTGGTGGATCACATGGAGCGCCAATCTTCACGGGCACTTTCGCCTCACCATTCTCAACCTTATTCTGTTGACGTTTTTGATTTTTTCTCGATTTGATGAACCATGCTTCTTTTTCAGGCTGAACTTTTAACCCAGCTGAAAGTCCTTTGACGAAAATCTTTTGCTTCAATTTAGCTTCTTTAACATCCCAAACATAGATTTCATCATCCCCTCCACCACTGATAAGAACTCCAGTTTGTCCACTATTATCAGGTACCCAGAGAAGTGCGCCTACAAAACGTTGATGACCTAGAAGAAAACTTTCGATAGACCAGGCATTAGGATAGCGCGAAAGTCTGACATGTTCATCGCGATCCGCAGAGACGAGAAGTGGGGTAGGTTGAATGGGGATGAACGTGAGAGATGTAAGGATCGAAACGTGACCACCGATAGGTGCCAATGCGATTGTAGGTTTCGTGGGCTGATCCTTTGTTGTTTTTTCTGGTGTGCTCTCTTTGAGTTCTTCGTCAGGATCCGATGCAAAGACTAGATTTTCAGATCCTTCGATCGGAAGACTGTGAGGATTTCATCATCAACATGCGTCCGAGTGATTTAGTGCGGGAAGGTATGAGGACCTGACTTGTAGATATCTCCAGACTTGTCACCAATCACGATATTTTTACCATTAGGAGAGATCAAGAGAGCAGTTGCGCGTTTGGATAGTGCTCTATTGATTACAAAACAACTCAAAATTGATGTCAACTTGTTGATTTTGAAGCTTGTGCACAATATTATTAAAACTTACCTAGATTGTAAAAGCCGCAATTCAGGTAATTCCCAAGTATTCAAAAGTTTATCTTCACCAGTACTAATCAAGAGTGAACGAGTTTGACCAGTTGTTTCAATTTTTTGTTGATGGATGGCCATTAAACGGATCAAGCCAGAGTGAGATCCATTGGTATGATTTGGTGACTTTGGATCAGATACATGCGTAGATATGATTTGACCATTTCCTAAATCTGCTACTTGAAGATGAGCATTAGATGCTATTACTAATAATTTCTTGTCAGCACTTCTTGTTAATCTTTGACAAGGATTCTCATTGCTTTAAG